TGTTATTGTCTTATCAATTTTAATGAATTAAAAATTATACCAAACGTTTGATATTTTAAATCAAATATTTCATTACGACTACAATAGAAGGGATTTTTAATATCGTTAATACTCTTATTTAAGCGATAAAAATATTCTGTATGACATTCTTCATTTACTTACTGCAGAAAAATAAATGGGGTCATGACGAGAAAACAAGAAGATGTTTGCATTTATATTAAAATAATCCTATGCACACTATACTGACGGTAATAAATGCATTACAAGTGAAAACCCATATTAATATGTACAATCATGTGTCTGTTGACACAATAAAATAAAACTGTCCGTTTAGAAGTTTGTTAATAATAATACCAAATATACTCATATATTTGAATTCATATAAAATCAAAATACTAAGAAAAGAAGATTCAATAGTTAAACATTTTCAAAAAATTCACTTTTTCAATGTTATTATTATTATTATTTATCCGATAGACATAAAAATTGCTTTAAATTAGAAAAGTCATTAATTATTAAACACTCGAGTAAACGTTTAAATATCAAGATATTAAATGCCTTAGATGTCTCATAATTTTGAGACAAATAGGTTTCCCAATTTTTGAATTTGACTTTAATCTAAAATATTTATAAGATACTTTAAATATTTCAAAAAAAAACTATTTTACTATTTTTGAAATTACTAAATGTTAGACCTTGAGAATATTGGGACTAGAAATTAAAACGACCTTGCGTGGGGTGAAGATTTAAAAGTGAGGTCGCCAACAGGACTTACGGTTGTGTTGGTTGATTACTGTTCTACAGAGAGCATGTTTATGTATATGCACATGCAATAAATACTCCTTCCACATCAAAAATATTTAAATATAAAAATTTAATGACACTTAAGTGAATAAATACATCAAATTTAAATATAATCTAAAAGTTAGCGAATAAGCTAATGGATGTTTAATCGTTTTACCAATTACACAGTAAAATATTATTGTACTGGTTGCAATTTTAGGATTCCATTAACTTTTAATCATTTTTTCATCAAAAAAAAAAAGTATATCTCTAGTAACTATAACTCTAACATCGCGCTTACATAATATAAACTGGTCTAAATTTCTCTTTGTACATTTGTGACGTCTCTACCTTTTACTGCCAGTTAGGTGTACAAAATACTAGCAATACAATACCAAACTGTGGTAACTAGCTAATATACAATGGAAAATGTAGTCTTTCGATTCATCTAAGTGTTTCGAACTCACATAAACTAATAGTAATTGGTTAATTGTTGAAACTTATTCGGTATATTACCGTGAAATTCCTTATTATTGTTTGCACCTCAAGACAAGGGGTGGGATAGGTATCCTTATTTCGCCTTTAGCTATATATCGCACACAAACACTTGCACGCGAACGTCACAGACTTCTGCGGTGCGTGGCGGACGACGCGATGAAGGCACGGCGACGGACACTGACGGCAAAAACGCGCGTCTGCAGCGACTTACTACGGCCGACGCACATAATAGTAGAGTCAAACGCGGCGGCGGTGAGAGGTTTCATTAGGTTGCTGTTATCGCCAACGTGGTGGGATGCGGCATGTGTTCTCGCAAAACATTTTTTATGTTTATACTTGAGAACTTTTTCAACCTGAACTCACGGTGGTGCAATGTGGACAGTAAGAAACCAAAGCGACGTGTTCAAAACCCTTCTCAACTCATTTTTACTATTTATAAAGACTTTTTACAAAAAATAATTAAAATTGACTTTCGCCTGTTATATTGGTTTCTTCTAAGCAAAGCCGCCTTAAGCAGGGAGTATTAAAATACATGTTGAAAAAACAGTTTAAAATGCTTAAAATGTTCTATAAGATCAATGTAAATATTGATACTGTTGGTGTTTTAAACATGTTAAAAACAATGTTTTAAGCACGCAGTGTAGGAGATGACATAGTAGTCTACACACTGGATCTCTAATTTTTTATTAAATTAGAACTTTGCGCTTAGGAAAAAATTGTATGACAATCATTTTTGCCCAGCTTAAAAACGACACTAACATTAAATTTTGATATAATTTGTCTAATTCTTTAGATAAATTAGCTTAAAACACACACATAAAAATATTCAACAGCAATTTTATAAACTTAGTCTGAAAAATTAATAAAACAAGGAAGTATAAAGAGAGAGTCGAATCATATTAATAATGGTATTGTAGGTTTTTAACAGACCGCAAAGAAAAATACGAATTTGTTTCATGCATCCTAAAATAATTGTGATAATTGTACTACATTAATGGTATCAATTATGCAATAAACGTACTATATTCGAACATCCATTTTTTAACTTATATTTATTTTCATTATCCGAAAGTTTGAGATTCGTTAATCTCAATCTATCTTATGGTATAAAGGGGAAGGAAATTGACTTTTATTACAAAGGCAATTCAAAAAAGTATGCAAAATACATTATCCTTTTTATTTTACAACCCGAATAATTCATATTCATGACACTTGAGGTATCTTATAAGTGATCTCTTAAAAAAATAAAAGAACTTAATTTAAAAACTGAATATCTAGTTTTCTAAATCTAGTAACTCATAGCAAGATCTCATTGATACTAAAGATCATTACCATAAATAATTTTGCTTCATTTAATATTTTAGAAATTAACACCTAAAAATATGAAATGATTCTCTAAGTGATAACCATTGCCACTCTAGCCTCTATAAGCTTTTTTACATACAAAACTGTTATGGATTTTAATCATAAGTATTAATTTAACGAACTTTTAAACCATACAAACTTAAATATAAAGCCAAATTAGTGTCCAATACGCTAAAACTGTTTGTTTGCATGCAGTAGCTTAGACAAAATATTAGCATACGATCCATGTAGTTACTTAGTATAATTTGCTTGTTAATTAGATTTGTACAACAGAACATTTAAATAAAAAAAAAGAAATATCAAGTCAAAATTTTGTTTTGAATTTTTGATTGTCTAACTTAGCTATATTTTATTTGTATGCTGCTTATTCATCATTATGTTTTAAAGATATAGATAAAAAATTAATTCAAGTTGGCATTGTCTTAATAACATTTATTTAAATAGTGTATCTTAATAATATGTTTTCTTTTTCGTCTAATTCTATTAGATTTATTACTAGTCTTATAATAAATATTAATACAATTTAGTTATAATCTCACATAAGTAGAAAACATCAATTAATAGATAAAAATTAAGTTGGACATATAATTTCAAGCGTAGAGAGAAAAAATTTTTTAATTACTGGAAATGAATTCAACCCACGTTCAAACCCCTATTTGCGCCAATATTTCTAAACTAGTTCATACAAATATTTTAAATTCACTGCCTCCCATAAACTTGACATAAAGACGCCCCTGGAGAATACATATCTATAGGTATTAAAAAATAAAAAAAAAATTATACTCTCGGTGCCAATTGCCAATTTTTATACTATAATGAGTATATTTAACTAAAAAGGCTATACTTAATTTTTTTTATCTATGGAGGTTATAGTAACAAAAAAATTATATTTCAATTACTTTAATGATAGTGATTAAAATCACTATCATAGAACGTTTCGATTCAAATATGCTTGAAACAGTTTGATTATTTCTTTTTTGGAGGATAACTAGTTCTAAACTTGATAGACAAACCCGACTTAATACGTTTAAACACAGTCTGTATTTTTTAATTTAATAATATTATAAAAATAATTATATATACTTATTTCTGTGCTAATTTTTTATTTATTGAGGTACAAAAATTCATAAAATTATATTAAAATTAAAGTTGTGTTTTCTAGTATAACTGATGAACAGTGAATTATTAGCATTTATAAATTTTGTTTAAGACACTTTAAAGATTCCTAAGTTAGTGTAACTTTGATATAGGAAATGCCTTATATATATAACACAGAAAAATTTTTCGCTCTAGAAGGGATTAATCCCCTAATTCCAATCCAAAAATATAACATTGGAAAAAGCACATTAATCAATTTTCAAGTCAATTAATCGAAAATTGAACTGGATGATGGTGTGTTCCGAGTAACTTAACAAAATTTATAAATGCATAATTTACAAACCTACTGATAAAAATTCTGTTTTGAATTTTTAGTAAGTTAAAAGAATTTTAAAATGCAAAAAAAAATGTATAATTTACCCTTTTCAACGATTATTTAATTAGATTTTTTAATTAGGGTTTTTTTTACACTTTTTGAAGATAATGAATTCAAATATTTTTAACTCGGTTTCTTTTAGTGTATAGATTAGTAAAATCGGTTTAGTGGGAGCTGAGAATTTTTATGGACAGTTTAAAAAACACATCATATTATAAATAGTATTTTCTTAACATCCTATTAATACTTAAAGTATTTGATTAGTATATTAGTATTAGAATATTTTTTAAATATATTTTACAACAATATCTATAACCAATAACACCTGTCATTATTGTTTTTTAAAGAATCATGACTTGACCCAATGAAATTTACTTGATTTAAAATTAATTATATCCTGAATTATTCCTAAGAAAATATCTAAATTTACACACTCGTATAATCTAAAGCTACCTAATTAAATATTTTAATAACTAAATACGTTTAAATCGCATTTAACGTTCCAATCGTTTCCCTTTCTTTACAAACACTATCTTTATTGTATTTTATGAACCTGGTATTAATAAAACATGTCTCTTACAATTTATATTTTTTGACAAAAAAATTTACTTTAAATATATATATTTTTTATGCATGCCATAATATAAAAATAATGAGACAAAAAAAAGAATTCTAAATACAACCATAAGTATTTAATGAGTTATAATTCAGCTTAATCTGACTTAATATATCGATTGATAGACAAAAAAAAATAATCCATTAAGTAAAGTAATTATTTTCTTAAATTCGTTTTGAGGCTAAGACAAGTCTTTAACTAGAGGACATATTTATGAACTGCGTCTTTGGATAAACTGTATGTCTTATCAAATTATTGATAATACTATCGTGACGTGAATGTGAGCAAGCCATCAGAAATTATTGAAGTTTTTAAATTATAAATCAACTTTAATAATTCTTATAATTTTATTAAAAAGTAATATTAACATTATGTAATTTTTAAACTAAATTTTTCCACAACATTAACCTTTTAAATCTTTGTTATTTAGATAAAAATCGCATCAATATGCCAAAAAAAAAAACAGGACAGAGGAAGAAAGCAGAAAAAATGAGGTTACGACAAAAAGAAATCAGATCTGCAAAAGATAATCTTGGTCTTGCCAAACATCCTTGTAATGCATCAATGGTAAACAAAATATGAATAATAGTTAAAATTAATATGATTACAGGAACATATTTTTTAATTTTGTTAACTTTTTCTTAATTTTTTTGAGTAGGAATTTTCAGATTTTTTGGTAGTTTACTATGTCATTTTCAAACTCAATTCAAATTGAAAAAAAAAATTAATATGAAAAAGTTAATAACGATCACCTAAAACTATTTACAACCCATTAATTAACAATTATTTTTATTTCAGGAGTGTGATAAATGTAAAAAGTAAGTGTATTATTATAATACTTTTGTAAATACTATTAGATTTATATTGCATTTTGTTTTTAAGAAAGCAAAAAAATAGAGCATTTTGTTATTTCTGTCAGAATTTACAACGTTTGCCTCAATGTGCTAGTTGTGGTAAAATAAAATGTCTTATGAAATCTGGCGATTGTGTTGTAAAACATCCAGGCGTCTTTACTACTGGAATGGGATTAGTAGTAAGTTTACATTACTCTATAAATAAATATGTACCCCACTTCTAAAATCATACTTTCCAGTTTACTTCCTATTATGTATAAATATTGGCTATATAAAAGAACTCACATTGAAATACTATTTATTGAAATAAAGTGTTTTATTATAAGAATTTATATTTCCATAATTACATATAAATTGTATAAATTCTAAAACTGTTATGCTGTTACATATGAAATAATATAATCACCTTGAAAAAATTCCTAATAATACTCTAAATAGGGAGCAATTTGTGATTTTTGTGAAGCTTGGGTGTGTCATGGACGTAAATGTTTAACGACTCATGCTTGCATATGTCCTTTGCAAGATGCTGCTTGTACTGAGTGTGAACGTGGAGTATGGGATCATGGTGGAAGAATATTTATGTGTTCATATTGTTCGGCATTTTTATGTGAAGACGATCAGTTTGAACACCAAGCCTCATGCCAAGTTTTAGAATCAGAAAATTATAAATGTATTTTCAATAATGAAATTTAGTATAATATACATTTCTCACTACAGTTTTATGCTTTATTAGGCCAATCGTGTAACAAGTTAGGACAATATAGCTGTCTACGATGTAAAGTTTGTTTTTGTGATGAGCATATTAGGTGTAAACGTTTTAAGTATTCAGAAAAAGACCGTAATTATCCATGTCCAAAGTGTTCTTATCCAACAGCAGAAGTCAGTGATTTATCATTATCATGTAAGTATAAAAGTTCAAAGTATTTTTAATTTTTCACGTTTAATACTCATTTTATTTCTTTTGTGATATTAATAATTAATATTTATTTTATTTTTTCCAACATTATAACCATATTCTCTTAAATTATATAACTTTTATAATAACCCTCAGCAATGCTTGAGAAAATTTTTATTTTGTATTGCTGTATATATATGGAACATTAAGTTAATATATCTACATTTTCAAAAAAAATTCTAATTTTTATTTATTGAAACAGTTATTAAAAATCAATAATTAATGTTTCATACTAGTTTGTTATCTTTTGTTTATCATTGTAATTGTTATTGTCAACTTTTGTTCACTTTTGAGGTTATAAGTTTTTATTGTTGTTGTTAATAAAATACATGAGCTTGTAGCTTGTGTCTTCTGTTCTTTATTAAAAACATGTATATTAAAGAATCTTAAATAAAGGTATTTTCTTCTTTATTACAAATTTCAACATTATTAACTTATAATTCAATTTATGTATATACATTTTTAAGGCTATTATTATTCTTTGCTTATATACTTATATAGTTCTATAAATATATCTAAACATACTATTAAATATATTTTAAATATTTTAGTATAAATTTATTAGTAAAATATTTTTAAAGTAAAATAGTTCAACGTTTCTTTAAGCTTCATCTCTTTTATACTTTCAGCTCGAAGTCATAAATTTGGACGTCAAACTTATGAAGATGACGAAGATGATGATGATTCATATTCCTATGCTGGTGGTTCAGGGACATACCAGGGTTATACATACAATGAAGGTAAACTATATTAAATGATATAAACATTATTTTTATTACTTTCTTCTTTATTAGTTGAATACAGTGATGACGATGATGATAATGACGACGATGATTATTCATATGATGATGAAGATGAAGATGATGATGATGATGATGATGATGATGATGATAACAATAATGATGATGAAAAAGAAAAAGTTAAAAATAAAAAATAACTTTATTATTTATAACCTTTCAATTAAGAAATATAATTTTTCTTTTTGTTTTTTTAATAACAAAATGAGTCAAGTTATTGTTATAATTTTCTTTACATATGTATTAATATTTAATACTTATTTATCAAACATTTTGAAGAATTTGATCTTTCATTATTATCACATCACAATAAAAAAATACAAATATTTTAGTATGAATTAATTTAACGAATAAAAAACTTGATTAGTCTTTTATTTCAGACATTAATATGGTGATTATTAAAGTCCATAAGTAAGAAATGCTATATCTAATGCAAAATACAACTTTAAATTCGCTGTATTTAAGTTTTATTATTTTATATTTGACCAATTCTCACATCAAATATAGGTTATGCTAAACTAATATACAATTTACATTTATAATAATGTTTGTATAAATTTCAAACATTAAATCAAATGTATATTTTTTATTTCTCTTGTAAACTATTATAAATAATTTTAAATATTCGAATAGTATAAATTATGCTTGATTTAATTAAAACTTACCTTAGTTCTTAATCTCCTAAAATTGTTGAGTTATTTTATTTTGTTCATCTTTATAACTTATATCTAGAAAATGCAAGTTATATTATTAGTAAGTTAAGAAACACAAAATAATGGATATTTATGTTGAAGCTCTAAGATGTGTCTAATGCGTTTTTTGAATAGGTTGAGAAAGTTGATATTTAATTTGATAAAACAATTTATAGTGATCTAAGTAACCACCATAATTCTATTATAGTGAAAATTTTTTATATCTTCATAAATAAAATTAAAATAAATCCTAATAATAATATGAATTTAAAATAGAATTACTAAAAAGTTACACTTATCGTTTATATCATAATATCAACATCAGGCAATAAACTATTGATACATTTATTGTTTTTATAAATCACGTGCACCTTGCACATTTCTGGACTAGTTATAATTTATGCTGTACCAATTTAAATTAAACATTCAATTTTTTGTGAATTTTATTACTTTACGTTAGTTTATATTTCACATTATATAAATATTTTTAGTTCAAGTGTCAAGTTTTAGCATTGTAAGTAAAAAAGAATAAATAAATATGTAGCTAATCAGTATTTAATTACAATATGCAGATATTTTAAACTAACAAAATATTTATAAAAAATTTTTATTTTTATTCTGTATACAGATAGTGTTATTTTGGTAATATTTTATGTAACAATAAATATATAAACAATAGTATTAATAAAACGAAAAAAAAATTATTTAGTATAAACCATAGATATTCTAGAGAATCGCAGATTTTAATTGAAAGGATTTATGCTATATTCCAGTAAGTAAAACATATTTAAAATATTTTTAGTATTTTTTTCAATGGAATTTTTTTGAAAAACACTTTTACAGCTTAGCTTATTTATACTTGAACAGAATAAATAATTAACTAATAATTTAATTGTGACAATGTAATTTTTTTTAAGCTCCTGTTACTATGTAACATTTTAAATTAAGAACGATTCTAGAAATAAACTAGGTTTGCATCAGCAGAGACATTTTTGTTTTAGTTTAGTTAAATAACTCTTTCTAATTTTCGATAAACTCGAGACATAATTTAACTTTCATACTGCCCTAATATTCTCATAAGTAAATCCACTTCTCATTGAATAAATTGTATATTGTTATAAAAGACCGCAGGATATATATTTTTAATTCATAAATAAAACTATTGTTATTTATCTTAAATTATTGAAGTTTGAAATTTTTTAGTATAATTTACAAAATTGTCATCTAGAAATGTTATCTACTCAATAGTTAATTAGCCGAATTGCATAAAACTTAGACTATGAACTAAAATACCCAATCAGAGAATATTTTTAAATACAAATTTAAATGATCAAAAGTATAATAAATTTAAAAATAGCATTAAAATTATTTATTAGATCACATTTATTTGTATTCTCATTTGCTAAACTAGGACCTTTATAAAACAAATCGTGATTAAAAAATCAACATTTAAGTTCTTAATCTATAATTATTTATTCTAATTACGTTTTTTAAATACATAGATTTACCTGGAATCAAAACAATTGGAGACAATAAAATTACAAAAGTACGAAAAAAAATAACAGAAAATTTTATATTATTTGAAACAAAGAAATAAAATCTATGGAACAAGATGTTCATTTTTAATGACTAATCAACGATTAACTGAAATGCAAATGGCGTCATAAAGGCATTTGATATTATTATTAGCTATGTTAAAACCATAGTATTGAGAAAAAATGTTATATTTTGAGATTTTCATAATTTTCCCTACATTTTTTATACATAATTTTTCGAAAAGAGAGGATTTATATACATAAAAAAAATGTATGTATTATAAAAGTGGCTTTTTGAATTGAATTTTTTTTTTAGTTTTAAATTAATAATTTGAAATAATTAGCCATAGGTGTTCAATTTTTATTATATAATGAATAACAGTACTAATAATTACCATGAATTAGTTATTTCACACTATGATTACTCATTACTTATTATCGATTAGTGTATTTAATTATTTTCAGTGAGCTATCTTTTCAAAAACCAAGGGGTCACTTATTTTATAAATGTATGTCTCAAAGTATTATTTGACATGCCGGAATTTCGAACGCAATTTTAAATATAGTACACGATTTTGGTATCGGTGACGTGTGCTACAACGTCGTGTTCCAGCCAAGATTGTTAAAAAAAACGTATTTAAAACATTTTTAAACGTTTAACATGTCCTATAAGACCAATGTAAATTTTTAACTTCTTGATTTTTAAAATGTAACAACCTTGGTTCAGGTTGTGGAACTTCTTTGTGAAACTGCCAGAGAAAAACATCGACGGCAGAAACTAAATAACTTACGAAATATTTTGGATGGACAATGGATGATTTAAGAACTTAACAAAACTCCCAGTAAAGTGCCAGGTACCCTCGGGCTTTTGAAGTTTAAATCGTTCGATTGTGATCTTTTAACGACATGTATGATGGCACTTGCACCAGGGTAAAAAGCGTAGAAGTATCAGAAGGTTTTCGGTTAAGAGTAGGAGTGCACCAAGGTTCTGCTTTAAGCCCTTACTTATTCTCTATAGTGATGGATGAAATTACTAGAGAAATACAAGGAGAGGTGCCGTGGTGCATGTTGTTTGCTGACGATATAGTGTTAATAGGAGAAAATAGGGAGGAAGTTAATCAAAGGCTAGAGGTGTGGATATCAGCCCTTGTAGATAAGGGTTTAAGAATAAGTAGAAGTAAAACAGAGTATATAGAGTACGAGTTTGATAAAGGATCACACGAGGTAAGTGATATGAGGGGTCAGTGACAATAGGCGAGGACATGATTGGAGGTGGAGAGTTTTAAGTATTTAGGGTCAGTTGTGCTAAAGAGTGGTGGTATTGACGAGGATGTAAGACACAGAATTAAGTGCGGGTGGTTGAAGTAGAGAATAGCGTCTGGCGTCTTATGCGATAAAAGAATTCCAATGAGACTGAAAGGTAAATTCTACAAGACTGTAATAAGGCCAGCTATGATGTATGGTTCAGAGTGTTGGTCGGTTGATAAGAAAGTAGAGCAAAGAATGAGTGTAGCAGAGATGAGAATACTTAGATGGATGAGTGGAGTGACTAGAAAAGATAGAATAAGGAACGAGAATATAAGAGGGAGTTAGGTGTAGCGTCAATCGTGAATAAGATGAGAAAAAATAAATTTAGATGGTTTGGTCATGTTATGAGGAGAGAACAATCGGAAGCTGTAAGAACAGTAATAGAAATGAATGTTGAAGGAAGACCAAAAAAGAGATGGAGGGATGCTATTGAATGCGATTTGAGGACAGCCTATGTGAACGTAGATGATATGGGAGATCGTGTCAAGTGGAAGTTTAGAATAAGGGTAGCCGACCCCAAGTAGTTGGGATTAAGGCGAGGAAGAAGAATTGTTTCTTTACAGTCTACCAAAAATAGAAAAAATTATTATACCAAATACATAATTTAATTAAATTTTTTGTAAAAACAGTACATTACATTCTTAATTTTAACTTTAATAATTATAAATTATTCTTACAGAATTGTTTCTAAAAAAGTTTCTCATATGCTTAAGATAAAATCTTCGACAAGTGTCCAACCCAACCAGGCACTAAGCCTGGTTTATAGTTGCATACTTGTTTAAAAGTCGGTGAAGTATTCATGAGAATATATAACCAGTATTTATAAATGGAAGAGAGAGCATTGTCTTAACACTCAAAAAAAAAAAAAAACAACTTCAGTATACAAATTAATGCATATATATTTAATATGTAATTTTGTTCAATAATAAGTTGATCGATTCTACAATAAAGTGGTTTATTAATATTAAATTGTATAACAAATACACACATAAACAATAAAGAATCGATAATTTAAAACTTATTACTGTATAGTCTTTAAATTATATAAAATAAAAATAATTATTAATTATTAAAAATGTTACCATAGATTTTACACCTTAAATCTATATGATAATACAAATTACAACAGTGATCACAGTGTCCCTATAAACAGTGCCGCCACTGTTATAAATATAAAATACTTCAAAATAATAACATTTTTTATAGTTTTATATTTTAAAATAAAAATTTATGTAGTTTTTCAAATTTTATAAAAAAAAACATTGGTACTTAAAACTAAATATTTTAAAGTAGTATTACATACTAAAGTAAAAATCAATCAATAACATTTTATATGAATACATAATTTAGCTATAACAAATTTTAATTTCTACCAAATATGAATTATTGCAAGCAATGTAATGACTTAAAATTTGAGTATAGGAAAAAATTTTAATTTTTTTTTTATAACTTATGACAAATATTAGCATTACCTCTAGGAAATCACTGTACTTATTAATTCCCAAAGATACACTAGTCCTATTTTCAAAATAGACTGGTGTTAACCAATTTAATGGTTGAAAAAAATTGGTTAAATATAATACAATCTCTGCAATTTTGTTGTTAGTGGTAATGTATTTGTCATGTCTGAACACATTTTTACAACGCTTTACAAGGGTTTATATCTAGATGATCCAAGGGTATAGTCTCAGAGCCTGATTTAGGCATTTAGTGGCTTTTAATATACAGAGGCCATTGGCGGCTGATTAATGAGTCTAATAAGAAATAAGGATAAATACCAGACCTTTCTGATTTGTAATTGTCAATTAAGAATAAAACAAGAACCATATTATATTTATTATTGAAATATATTACATATTTTGAAAGTGAGAGGAATACAAATTTACCAGTAATTGTTAAAAATTTAAAACTGAGAAACGAAAATGATTATGTTAAATATTGAATAATACCAATTTATAAAATATTTTTAAATTAAAAACTTATTATTAAAAATAAAAACTGTAATCTAGTTTCAATTTGATTCATGCCTAAGATTAGAATACTCTAACAGCATTTTACAAGGGTTTATAACTGGATGATCCAAATTTAGAGAGAAACTAGTCACAGATCTTTTAAATTTACCTATATAATTTCATATAGATAATTAATACCATGTTTTTTTTTTTAGTTTTTAGATTTTATGGCCCAATATTATAAAATTATTTAAATTGATTAGTAATAAATAAATTTTAAGTGAAAATACTTAACTAAACTAACTATCCAATAGTTTAATATGAGAAAAATTATGTTTTTCTATAATATTCACTATAATCAACATCATCATCCGTACAATAAAAATAATCACTATCAGTCTCATTGTTTCTTGAGTCTTCTTGAATTTCATTTATTGTATTAGTGCTTTGTTCAGTTTCAATCAATTCTAAATAATATTAATTACAAAAAAAGATATATGTTTTGTTGAAAAAATATTTTTAGAAATAAGATAATTTTTAACTAACCACAGATTTCATCTTCATGACAAGTATGATTGAAATGACGATTAATTAAATCACGACAATAGGGACAAGTCAAAATATTGCCTAAAACAACATACAAAGTAAAAATATATTCAATCTAGACAGTCAATATTAATTTATCAAATAAACTTAAAACAAATCAATTGATAGGCTATTGTAATTAGTAAGTCAAATATTAAGATTGGGTACTTGCACCAGTTTTATAAGTTGTCTAATTAATTATTAAGAGATAGATAATATAGTAAGAAAGTTTGATAATACATTTTTTAAAATCCAAACATATAACCTGATTGTAAATGCCATTTCAATATGCAACCATAATGAAGACAATTATTGCATCGTTTACAGCACCAAAAATCATTTTTATCATCAATAATTACTTCTAAACAGATACAACATTTAATATCATCAGGATCAGCTAAAAGTACAAATCCAAAAAACTTAATGTAATATTATCAATAAAAAAATTAACAATTTATTTAACATTACTTAATAAAATATTTACTTACAAATTCTACATTTAGTTATTATAACAGCATATTAAAATTATTGTAATATAATAAGTTTTTAACATTTAAAAATAGTTCTATTTTTCCATCAATTTTACATTTAATTGAAAATTTTATAAACTATCTTTATTTTATGCATTATAGAAATATTAACTTAATACATAATTTTTGTGGTAATATACAATATTTAACTGGTTAAAGTAAAGTATAAAAAACAACTTTCATTTCATAAGGTTGTAAGATTTATATATCTAAGTAAGAGCAACATGGCACTACAAGATTAAAAAATGGATGTTTAAAAAGATTCAAAATATAAGTTGCAATAAAAAAAAATTTAATTTATCAATCAACATTCAAGTCCCAATACAAAGTGTTCATAGACTCCCTCGTGGAAGTAATGCAGTACTAATGTGGTAATTTTAATAAAAAAAAAAAAGCCAGAATACTAGGAATTCTACATTATTGCAGCACTAGATTGCATTAGAGTCTACAATAATAATATTAATTAACTATCACTAATAGAAATAGCTATTATATAATTTATTAAAATTATAACTAATATTTACTAAATACTCAAGTGCAACTTACAAGAATTGATATTAATATCAGATGCTTGTGAAACCATGGTCTATCTTCATTTAAAACTAACTTATGGTTTTCTATTATAAAAAATAATTTATAAATTAGATTTGAAAATAAAACTAAAATAACATATCACTACAAATACACAGAATGAAGCAGATCTAACTAACTACTTTAAAAACTTTTGATCAACAGAACAATTAACACTTTTTTTTTGAGAATTTTTTATATTCATAAATTACAACTTATTGTAGGGAAATTTTTTTTATATATAAAAATAATAATAAGTAAAATAAAACTTTCTTTCATTTTTTTTTAATTTCAAGATGCCCATTTTTTTAGATTAAATTAAAAAAAATAATTGTAAACCAAAATCTTATATATTAGTATAGTTGTTACATTTATACAAATTTTTTAAGTTTATTAAAATCTCAATTTTTTTGCAATTTTTCTATGATATCATACATTGGTCTATAGTATTTTAAGAAGAATATAACACCCTATCTTAAAATATTTCAGAACAATTTAAATACATTTTCTTCAAAATTATCATTACATGAATAAACTAGAAATTGAAGTAAAAAACATTTATAATAGTCTTATACATTATTATAGTATTATCAAATTTCAAAAAAATTTAGCAGGTATGAATTATAATATTCAACTTATAAATACTACTATTATTATGTTGTGTTATTTAACTATAACTCATGCAATAACCAGTAGTTTAAAAGATATTAGCATATTTATACCAAAAAAGGAGAAATAGTACAGTTCATAAATGCATAGTGATAAAAATAAACAGGTGCACGCTTTGTATCTAGTCTATGTATAAAAATGTTATTAACTTTGAAATACTGATTCAAAAATTGTGTAAGGTTAAGTTAATTTTTTAATTAGTTAAATTTTCTTTTTTTTTTAAGCTGGTTAAACATATCTGTACCTCAGAATTAGAGCTACACAGATCCAGAAATCATGATTTTTAGATTATTACATTTATTTATGCAAAATTTAAGTTTACATCAATCATTATCAACAGAATTTTTTCACAATTACCTTTTCTATATTTTATGAGTTTTAAGAATTTAAGTCCTAACTTAAGTTTGTCCTAAAAAAAGTGTAACTTAATATAATAAACCAAAAAAATAAACTAATGGTATAATAACTATGTAGTTTTTTAATGTAAACCAACAATATTTATACTTCACTTTTTATGCTTTCCTATAAAATTAACTAAATGTGACTTACATTTAAAAAATAAAAATTGATCTAATTTTAAAAAGTAAAAAAGAGATATACAACTAAATTTTTTTTTGAAAATTTTAAAATTAGGATACTATTAACTTTTGACAAGAAAAAATTATAAGTTTATATTTTTAAATATTTCAGATGAAGCATAGTTAAAAAATCATTGTACCCTTAAGAGTCAAATGACTTTAGTTTTAGCTGAGAAACTATTCGTATAACTGTTCCTTTTTGAGGGTTAGGTTACAGGACACATTAACTCCACTTCTAAAAATTTTATTTAACTTATAGTTTGTAATTTAACATATATTTAAAAAACGCAGTATTTCTAGAACATTTTCAAAAGTTAAATTAAAAACATTGAATTCTGTGAAAGTCACTATATTGAACCTTACTAATAGGCAAGTAAAGGGTTAAAAAAAACACTTAATAGTAAAATTAATGCCTTTTCAGCTTCACATTGAAGCTAAAATTAATGTTACAATAAAGTAAGGTATAAGTACTATTAATGGTTTTACAACATTAGTACCTATTTTGACCACTTGTAATTTTAATAAGTTATATCACTTATTCTTGGACCAAAGTAATTTTCATCATCATAATTATGAGTTTTTATATAAGTTTTCAGTTAGATCTGTTCTATCCTATAAATTAAAAAATATCTCTTCATTAATTACTTACTCTAATAAATTAATAAATACATATATACATTTATAATATGTTTTAAAACAATAACTATTAAATAACAATTTTGGCGATATCTTGAACTAATGTACAGGAATGCAATTGAGAATTCTAAAAAACCAATTTAAGACAATTCATGTTTTAAAAAATTGGATATTTTATTTTTAATTTCCATTTTTACAAATATGTATTTAAAATATAATTTATTTACTAAAAATATTTAGAAACCAACCATCCCTAAAATATAAAGAGAGTAAATTAAGATACGTACAGAGGTGTAACTGAGGAATTATTCAAGGGATATACATACGAAAAATTTGATTGCCTTCTTCAAATGAAAATAAAAAATTATATCCTTAAATCATGTAAATAATTTTACCCTGACAATCTATCCTCTACATCCTTTCCTTAATAACACCTTAAATTAAATACTTAGCCTAAAGCATGCCATAGTGGCAATCACCCTTTAACTAAATTAGAATAAAGTTAAAACATTGAAATATTTTAATACAATTACTTTCACTAATTGAAGAGCAAACAATGCAAATGAAGTAAAATAACCACAACCATATATTTTTCTGGAAAAAAATATTTTTATACATGATTAATTCTAACTTTTCAAATAAATAATTTAAAATAAAATAGTTACTTTTGATAATATTGAAGAACTGATCTTTGAATTATACTATTTTCTAAGAAAATAATTGAGAATACTTTCCTTAATATTTATAATGGAATAACAATTGAACACAATGATATAGTTTTCTTAGTATTGAAAATACAATATTTTGGTTAAAATTGAGATCAAACAGAACCATGAAAATGTCAGTTTCCTACAATCAGAAATAAAAATATTAACAACAGAAATTGTTTGAATAAAATAAAATTAATAATAAGACTCTTATATTCTATAATTAAGGTGATTCAAAGAATTTTTTGAGAAGAGGCAGTCAATTAATTTTATTACTTTCATGTTTCTTTTATTTAACATTTTAATTTTGACAGATAAGTACAAAATAAATCTAAATTCTCAAATGTTCAGATAAAAATAACATAATAGGTTTTTTAAGAAGTTTTACAGCAGTTCATCAAGTTTTTAAATTAAATTAATTATTATTAGTTTCATTATAATTCAATGAATTTCTATTTCAACATAGTGGCAATCCCTAAGAAGTTTTTATCAGTAACTAATTCTAAAGAACACTACTAAAACTGAAAAACTATTGTTGATTACAAACACGATAATAAAAAAACAGGTTTTGAAAACAGGTTCAACTATTCATTTTACGAAACCGGTTAAATTAAAAAAAAATTTGGTTAAAAAATCCATTTGGTAACAAACAGATAACAAAATGTTAGACTTCGGTATATCATAAACTACTTATTGTAAAATATAACAACCAAAATATTAAATTACATTACATTCTTTACACTTCATCGATGTGCTTAATTAGGACAATCATCTGCAACCAATTACAACCGTGATTAGTTAGCCGGTTGTTACATGTCTGTAATGCACTTGCTGGTAGCCATTTTTCCATAAACAGGCGTCCTCTTAAATGAACAAACACACGCACATTTACGCAAACAAGGTTATCGGTGTATAGTGACTCACTAAGTGAATTAAAGCAGTACCCAGTTCAGATATCTGTGGAATTTAGTATAATGAACTATGATTGGCTAGACCCTTCGGTAGGGTAGGAAAATTTAAATTACTAAATTATTGTATCAATGTTTTACAATAATATGTAATTATGTCAACAAAGTAATTCCTGAGATCACACAAAATATTTCTAAAGATCAAAGGGTTCATAAACTATTATTTTATATTAATATTTCTATTTTATTTTAAAATAAAATAATACTTTCTTTGATTGTTTAGTAAAGTAAAACCAAGTATTCAGGAAAGCAAATATCATTAAATGGTTGAAAACATATTTACCAATATATCAAATTTTAGTCGTTTAAAATGGCATCATTTTAATCATTGAAATACTACCTTTGGTGAATCATAACACTTCTCTAAAGGGTACAATTTGTACAAAACATAATGTACATTTGAACAATAGTGATTTTAATAACAATTTCATTTTTAAGATTTAGGTTTTTTACGTTTATCCTAAGGTTATGCCTTACGATTGTTCTACTGTTACTTGTACGTTAATCGAAGACCTTACGGTAATTAGCTAATTTAAATTTGTCTTTAATGAGATATAAATAATATCAATATTTTATAATAATAATTTATTAAATAATTTCAATATTTAATTTGACGTATAAATTTTTTCCAACCACACGTTCTTCCTTAATCTTTACTCTTCTATTATATGCCAACTAATATTTTATAACGTTCAGCGATGCACCCACTGGAGATAGTTATGCACGGATAATCATTTCTGTCTTCGAAAACAGGTTTTGACATTAAGAAATTGTTATCCCTGATCATAATATTAATGCAATTGATTTTTGATTGCAAAATTAACGAATAAGTGATGAAGAATAGACCACTAAACACATGGCGGATTATTAGTTTCAATACTCATTTGTTATTATAAATTATTTAATTGTTATTTAACTTACTTGTTCATGCGTCCACTTCTGTTCGTAGCAACATCCAAAACACAAATGAATTAATAATTTAATCGGTTGATGTTATACGGTAACTATAGTAGGGGAATATGATATTACAAACAACGCCATCTCTTGAGCGAAGTATGCAGATGGTTTTAGGATTCTATACGCAGTGTTCAGTAAATAAGGAAACAGATCAATTGTTATAAACAATAAGAACATTAGAAACCCGTTTCTTACTTATTCAATACTCAATATACGTTTGTAATAACTAAAAATAAAGTTGATGGGGATGGTATTAATAAAGAAGAATGATAATGGCATCATCCATAAAAACATAATAAATAAAAGTACTTTGTTTCTAGTTATTACTTGATTAGTGTAGTTAGTATGTTTAAACTACTCTTACCTGATATACCTTGGCTGCAAATCAAGTTCCACGGTGTAGAGAGGAGAAGAAGTGCTTTAGGTTTATTAGATATTAAATAAGAAAGACAGATTATTGCATGAGCGTATATTATAAACAATTAAATAGTTATTTAACAAGAATGTATTTTAAATTATACTACAAAGTTATATTAAAGAAGAAGACACCAAGTCACGATATGAGTATTAGAAAATAAGTAAAAAACTGCAAAATAAAAGAATAAGCAAAGCTAACTACTTAAGTGTAATCGCCAGAAGAGAATAAATAGAAGCGATTCTTTGACGAATGTCAAAAGATAGACCAAAGTCCAGAGAGCTCTTATATAATAAATTAAAATAATAAAATTTGATGTGACAATTAAAAGAGAGGTGTGCTTTACAATGTGATACAAAGAGTGATTTGAACTAAATCATTGTTTGCTTAGGATATGTAAACAAACAAATATTTAAATACAAAAAGTATAATAAATGATTTTAACGAAATTTTTCATAAATTTACTGTTAATAATATTATATACTCAAATTATAAATTTTCATAAAAAACAACTTTAAAGGACCAAAAAATTAGGTTAAACATGACATTTTGAAACGAAATTTTGCACGGATTATTTTAGCTTCGATGCGAAGCTGAGAAATTATTAATTTTATCATGATGTGTTTAATTTTTTTTGTGTCTGTCACTACTTTTTCTCAGCTCTCACTGGACCGATTTTTCTCAGCGATACGTCAAAAGATCATAAATCGTATCTAGTTGAAGACATTACCCTCAACAATTGAAAATGTGTTCCCTCATTCTCCATAAATAATGAAAATCCCCCCAAAAATTACGATTATTAAAATCGGTAAATTTCGACATTTTTTTTCCTAAAAATTGCCATAAATTATTGAAAAATAAATAATTCAAAATAATTATTTTTTATTTTGAAACCTTAGATATTTCCCTTTTATTTGATATCATTTTTTTGAAAATCTAACACTTAACCTGCTCATAGGGGGGATTTAAAATAGCAACCTTTTTACCAAAACTAACTTTTTAAACTGAAATGTTGAAAATGTTCCGGAAATACTGCGTCCTTTAAACATATATCAAATTAAAACTTATGTCATGTACGATAAAATAAAATAAAAAAATTTGTCTTAACATCTTATTTTCTACGTGCAAACGGCTTCCATAGTTAAAAACCTGCTATTTTTGTGTTAAAATTTTTGATTTTATATTTTCAACTTTAAATTGCTATAACTTTTTGAAAAATGTATGTATCATTACAAATTTTTTTTTTCTAAATACATTATCATTACTTCTTTTATTTGACATAATTTTTATTTAAAGTGGACAATTTCTCCTTATACAAGGAGCGTTCAAAACTTGAAACATACGTATAAAAAATAGAACTTTTTCTACATAACTTTTGAAAATGTTCCGGAAATACTGCGTCCTTAATGTATATAAAAAAAATTGTCCCGACACTTTATTTTCTATGTGCAAATAGTTGCCGAAATTAAAACAAAAATGTAATATTTGCAAAAAAAATCATCATCCATCATGATGTTTTTTTGTTTTGTAAACTGTCATAACTTACTGAAATATTAACAAATCAAAATAATATTTTTTATATTTAATAATCTGACTCTAAACTAGCCCACGTGGGGATTAAAAAAGCATTTTTGCAGATAAGTTAAGCTTATACTTTATAATGGGATACACTGATTTTCATGAATATAATATAAAACTAATTGACATAGAATATAAATTTAACTTATTTAAATTTTTTTTTCGTGTAAGTCGAAAAAGTTTATTTTAACATTTGAATCAAGTCAAATTGCCAATTTTATCAAACAGCGAATGTGACGAATATTTATCGAAGCAGTAAAAATCATTGACACAGGCAATGATTTTTTTGTAATTTTTCCTTAATTATTTTCAAGTTACAATTTTGCTTTTAAATAATCCACCAATTCCTTAAAATTAAACACTATCTACAAATTTGCATCGAAGCGTTTCTCATGATAGTGATTTTGATCACTGTCAGATATCATCTATACTGGGCCCAACTATACCACGTCCCCACTGTGCTACCTTTTTTTTTAGCTATAGGTTTCTGTTAATGGCTTTGATCTGAGAACTCTTCACTAAAATATGCAACTGCTTAACGTATATTAGTATTCAGTTAGTAAGGAACGGGTTTCTAATGTTCTCATTGTTTATAACAATTGATCTGTTTCCTTATTTACTGAACACTGCGTATAGAAACCTAAAATCATCTGCATACTTTGCCCAACTATGTTATGCACACATTGTGCCGCGACCACACTGTACTATCGTTTTTTAGCATAAATAAGATTAAAAAAAAAACAAAAAAAAATATTAACAAATTACTAAAAATCAAACAAATATGCAATAATTAGTCTAATTGTTACCGATACATATGTTAGAAACAGTTGTAAACACGTTCAGACGGGATTCAAATTAGCATAAACAAGGATTAGAACGCGTTTAGACAGGTTTAAACATGTTCATATTTGTTGAATCGAGATTATACGATTCTAGGAAAATAAGGTACACTGTTCGGTAAACCGACATACAGTGTCATCACTTTAATAATGTCTAACATCGTATTTAACATATTTAAAATAAAAATAAATTTTTAAATGTAAACACTCGTTTTTATAAATTAGTAATTCTGTCCAAAAGAGAAGCAATGAAATAAATCTAATTGCAGTTATGCTTTCTAAAAAGAAAAAAATCAAACGAATTTAAAATTTTTTCCACCACAAAATAAATTAAGAAAAAAACTCAGCACAGGGGGACGTGGTATATTTGGGCCCAGTATAGATGATATCTGACAATAATTAAAATCACTATCATAAAAAACACTTCTATGCAAATCTATAGATGGTATTTAATTTTAAGAAATTGGTTGATTATTCTAAAAGCAAAATTAACTCTTATTTCTATCATTATTCCTAATTAGTAGTTGATTTATAAGTATAATTTATGAATAAATATCTAATAAAACAATTCAACGTAGGATGAAATTGATATTTAATAATTTAGTATTGTAATTTTTTCGAAGAATTTATACAAATTTACAAAATCATTATTACTTTTATGACAAACGTGTATAAAATTGAATGGCTCGACACAGAACTTTTTTTTTTTATAAAAAATATTCAATCTATACCTACATTATTACAATAAGCATATGTTTTAATTTAAAAAAATAATAATTTACAATTATTATTTACAATTATAATTAAATATATACATGATTGGAGAAACCATCCAGTGATGGAACTTCAGTGGCTGGAAAAGTGTTTCTAAAAGGAATTAGTCTATGTTAGCAGGTCTTTGCACCATTTTCTTTTTAAGCGACGTGGAGGGTTTTCAGGAAGATTATTGGATGGCCAGGTCGGCAATTAAAGGATTGGAATGTCTCTGTAGTCTCATTCTAAACCTCTTATAGTAGATTTTGGCTACTTCGACAACGGTTGGGAAGGAAGTGTCTTTGTAGAGCATTTCGTTCGAAACATAAGGTGGTACAGCAAAAGTTGTGCGTAGGACTCGTGATTGGAAGACTTAAATTCTGTTTGTATTAGAGATTATAACTGAGCTTATTACCAGAGTTCTATGCCATAAGTCCAAATTGATTTAAATAATATTTTGTAAATAGTAAGTTTTGTTTTTATGTTAATTTTTTATTTGTTGTTGAGTAGGAGTTTTAAGTGTTAATTTA